CCCCCAGAGTCCCTCCTCGCACCCAGGCCCCCTCCATGTACCCCCGGTGTCCCTCCATGTACCCCCAGAGTCCCTCCACGCACCCAGGTCCCTTCCATGTACCCAGAGTCCCTCCATGCGCCCAGGCCCCCTCCATACACCCTGGGACCCCTTCCATTTACCTCAGAATGAGCTTTGGGAAGCAGGGAAGGGTGAGAGGGTCAGGGGGACATTTGTTTTCCCTGTTTTAGAGAGATTGCTCGTTTGTTTCCCTAGTTTTGCTCACTTAGGAAAAATAATTATTTTCAAGCAAAGGTGGTTAGAAGAAGCAGTGCATCTCATAGCACTTTCTTCCGCCTGTGTTCACGAGGCCTCTTAAGTGCTAAGCACTGTGTGAGGGCTTCCTCCCCCGTGATGGACAGACAGCCCACCCCTGTGGTGGGTGGCTTCCCCCCCGCAGAGCACTCCAGAGGCCCTCACAGACTGTCCACCTGGGCTCTCTGGGCATCACCCCAAGGCTCCTGGCAGGGGAGGGCGTCTGTGATCAGGAGTAGGGGGCCAGGCCGGGCAGGGAGGAGGCCTTCTCCCACGATTACCTCCATTCGCTCTTGCTCATGGCTGAGGTGGACTGGAAACCCCTGGGGCGGGGGGCAGGGGGCGGGGGAGCAGCCGCAGCTCTCCCTCATTCCCTGCAGGCCCACCACCTCCAGCAGTTTCCGCTGAAGACACCAGCACTTCTGTCTCTCCTAGGGGCTACCAGGGGCTCACGAACCGCATAATGGCCTCCTTGCCCGAGGACGTGATAGTTTTTAACAAGCCCGTGAAGACCATTCACTGGAATGGGTCCTTCCGGGAAGCCTCCTCTCCGGGGGAGACGTTTCCGGTGTTGGTGGAGTGTGAGGATGGAGGCCGCTTCCCCGCGCATCATGTCATTGTCACTGTGCCCTTAGGTAAAGCCTGCTTTTCCCCATGGGTTCTGGTCTGGTCACCCATCCCAGGTGCCCCGGCCTCTGGCTCTCTCCCACCTCAGTGGCCTCTGTGGTGTTTGTTCAGCCACTGAGCTCACATTTTCATCTAGTCCTGGACAGGATTATGCTATTGTATTTTGTAGCAACTGCATGCTTTGGAATTGAGTTTCACAATAAGAGAAAACCCATGTCTTACTCCTTCAGAGGTCACATATGGACAGGTTGGGACTGCCTCCAGGGGTTCCCCAAACCCTGCCTTCTTGGGCACAGCCAAGGGTGTGACTGCCAGGTCTCAGGTTCAGTCCAGGTATGATTGTGAAAAGTCAAGCATATGGTTCTGTGTAATTCTAGATCTGACACCCTAGACAGAAGCCATTAGTGGGAGCTGGAAATTTGACAAAAGATGGGAGTGGTTGGGAGCCACACCATGCCTGCGCTGTCTCACCTACTCCCCAGGCAGAGTCCCCATCCTGTTTGACAGATGCAAACAAGTTCATCACCTAATTGTCTGAGTTCAACAAGCTAGCAGGAGCCAGAGCTGCTGTAGGGTGAGGAATGGGCCCAGCCCTGTGGCTGCAGCCTGCGCCCCGGCGTTCCTTCAGGGAGCGCTGCTGTGGATGAGCTTGCTGCGCAGCCAGCTCCCTTCTTCCACACATGGAATCGTACTGGGTGTGCTGGCGTAGTCTTCTGCTGCTCCCCTTTTCCCAACCCTCTCTTTTTGGTTAATAAAACTTTTGTCAGTGTTTCCATATAGATCCATGACATTGGTTACCGCCCCCCCCCCCCCGCCCCAACCAATGTCTGTGTTCATTCATGGCTGCAGTGTGTGCTGAGCCCCTGCTATAATCAGCAGGTGCATTACTGTGACTATTGATATTGTTCACAAGGAGCCAGGACACCTGTCACGTAGCCACATAGTTCTTTCTTTTTTTTTTTTTTTTTTAATTTTTTTTAATGTTTTTATTTATTTCTAGGAGAGAGAGAGAGAGACAGCGCGAGCAAGGGAGGGTCAGAGAGAGAGGGAGTCACAGACTGAAACAGGCTCCAGGCTCTGAGCTGGCAGTCAGCACAGAGCCCGACGCGGGACTCGAACCCAAGAACCGCGAGATCATGACCTAAGCGAAAGTCGGACGCTTAACCGACTAAGCCACCCAGGCGCCCCGCCACATAGTTATTTCTTGTATGAAGATGTCATTACTCAATATTACTTAAAATTGATGGAAGTTTAGGTTATTTTCAGTTTTTTTGTTTTACATAGTGTTTCCCATGTGCATTTAAAACACTTGTGTGGGGGCACCTGGGCAGCTCAGTCGGTTGAGTGTACAACTCCTGGTTTCAGCTCAGGTCATGATTCCAGGGTTGTGGGATTGAGCCCCACATCAGGCTCTGTGCTGAGTGTGGAGCCTGCCTGAGACTCTCTCTCTCTTTCTCTCTCTCCCTCCTCTGTCCCTCGCTCTGCCCCTCTCCTCTATGCAAGCATGCATACACACACTCTCTTTCTAAAATAAAATTTAAACCCTCCCGAAACAAAACAAAAACAAAACACTTGCGCGAACACAGGGGCAGGAACTGCTGGATTGAGGGTCTGGGCTGACGGTGACTCTGGCGGAGGGTAGGGGACCCCTCTGTGGGTCCTCATGGCCTCTACGGGTCTGTTTCCGTTGGGTTGTTTGTCCTTTACTTACTGACTTTCAAGATATCTGTGTCTTAAGGAGATTGGCTTGTGCTGCAAGTATTTCATCTCATTGACTCTGGGCAAGACTCAATATTTTTTGTTACGCGGATACTCTTTCTGTAGCTTCTGGATGAAGCCTGTTTGTTGCCTCCTCCAAACCGATCCAGATCAGCATGGCTTGCAGACATTGAGAGTTGGAAGGTTTAGAAGGAGAAACTGTCCTCAGAACAGTCTGGGGGCGTGCCAATATTCCCTGCCTGACCAGGTGGCCACCAGGCCCTCTGTGTCCCTCCCTGGTGCTGCTGCTCACCGAGGCTAAGCCCGATGGCCAGAGCCAGCCTGGTGCCTGGGAGCCCGGTTGAGCTGGGGCTGGTGTGGGTCCCTGGAGGCACCCTCTCTCTGACTCCTCTGACGGGCGTCAGGGTGGGTTCCCAGGACTCTTAATTCCAGTTTAAGAGATGTATGTGGTGTAAGTTGAGTCCACTTGTGAATTCCAGGTTTTCTTAAAGAACATCTGGACACCTTTTTTGAGCCACCACTGCCCACCCAGAAGGCAGAAGCGATCAGGAAAATGGGCTTTGGGACCAACAATAAAATCTTCCTGGAGTTTGAGGAGCCCTTCTGGGAGCCCGGCTGCCGGTTCATCCAGGTGGTGTGGGAAGACGCGTCCCCCCTGCACGGTGGCGCCTCTGAGCTCCGGCACATCTGGTTCAAGAAGCTTATTGGCTTCTTCGTCCTGCCTGCCTTCAAGTATGTACGCTTCTTGAGTTTCTCTGAGGAAGCATAGGTGTGAGCTCTGAAGGGGCTCGTTGGCCTTAGTTTGGCTGAGAATCCAGCGGTGGGGTTGGTTCACTGGGAGGCACTTCTGGAGGATTTCTGGGTGGGATTCTAAGGGCAGCCCAGCGCCTGGTGACAGACACCTGGGTCCTAACCCCTGCAGGGACAGACAGAGCCTACTGTATACAGTGGTGGCCTGGAAGGAAGGTTCGGTCAGTAATAAAGTAGTTACTGAAATCTGCAGGAAGCTGCATACAGTTTGTAGGTTGCAGGAGGAATTTGAAACATGGACGTGTCTGTGGCTGGAAGACAATGTTTAAGCCTGATGCAGTAATTGAGCAAAATACCCTTACAAGTCATGGAATCAAAGACCCATCTGTGGCTAAATTGTATGGCCCAGCTATAAAGAATAAATAATATGGTAAATACGGACTTGGTGCTAACTCAGAAAATAAGACCATGAATACTTTAGGGAGGGAGGGACTGATTTTTCCAGTAAGATCAAAAGACATGGTTAGTATGTTGTGGTCTGGTTTCCACACAGAGATGTGGTAGGATTGGGGACCGTGTTCTTGGCTTGGAGGACAAAATGCAGGCATGCCTGCCGGCGTGGCTCATGAGAGTAGGATGTACGGGCTCCTCCAGCCTGTGAGGGGACCCCCCCCCCCCGTGTGTCCTTTGCACTGAAGATAAAGTAGACACCCGGGTTTGGAAACGTGGCCAGGGTTGTGTGGATGGGTAGTGGAACGGAGGCTCGGGGGGCCCAGCCAGCTTCCCTAGGCCTGGTTCTCTGGCCTATGCTCTGTGCTCAGGACACTAGTAGGGACAACAGTCCTGGGGACACTTCGTGGCCCAGGACAGTGGCTCTCATACTTTGTGGTTTCAGGAACCCCTTTTATACTCTTTAAAAGTGTCAAGGATCCCAAAGAGCTTTTGTTTATGTGGGTTGTATCTGTGCATTTTCCACAGTAGAGATTAAAACTAAGAAATTTAAAAAGTTATTTTTTAAAATGGTAAACCTATAGCATGTTAACATAACATTTTAAAATGAAAAATAACTATGAATCTTAATTTTTTAAAACATTTTATATATTTTTGAAAAACAGAGAGAAACAGAAGGTGAGCAGAGGAGGGGCAGAGAGAGAGACACACCCAGAATCTGAAGCAGCTCCAGGCTCCAAGCTGTCAGCACAGAGCCCGACGCGGGGCTCGAACCCACGAACCTCGAGATCATGACCTGAGCCGAAGTCGGACGCTTAACTGACTGAGCCCCCCAGGCGCCCCATAAATACTGCTTTAGAAATAGCGTCTCATAAATACTGCTTTAGAAATAGCGTCTCATAAATACTGCTTTAGAAATAGCGTCTGGGGGGCTCAGTCAGTTAAGCGTCCGACTTCGGCTCAGGTCATGATCTCGAGGTTCGTGGGTTCGAGCCCCGCGTCGGGCTCTGTGCTGACAGCTTGGAGCCTGGAGCTGCTTCAGATTCTGGGTGTGTGTGTGTCTCTCTCTGCCCCTCCCCTGCTCACTCTCTCAGAAATAAATAAAAAACATTAAAAAAATTATAAAGCAGTATTTAGTGGGGAGAGTGGCAGTGCCGTCTTTTCCTCTAGTCTCTTTACCATCTGGTTTAATAGCTGCAGTGTTTTTTCCTGACGTCGGTGAGAAGGTCTGAACTCACATAGATTTATAGCTGGGGCAAGGAGTGGTGTTTAAATAGTCTTCAGATCATTGTGGTTATTCTTTGATACGACAGGAAAACTCAAGAAGTGGTAGTTCCTTCAAGGTGAGGTGCGGTGTGGGGCCTGACCCTCCTTGACGCACTAAAACCCACCGTCTGCCTGACACTCTGACGGGTGTTTCACCCATCCGTGTTTTGGGTCATTCTGAAAGTAACAGTTCATGCAGTCTTTCAAATGTTGACATATTTCACTGTACAATATCAAACAGTTGAATTTATTAATGTCACCACAGATCTCAGAAAAGCATCTTGGTTTTGGGGACCTTTCAAGCTGTCAGTGGCAGCAGATACAAGTTTTCTAAAGTTGTAATTAAAAATTTTTTTTGTTTTTTTATTTATTTCTGAGAGAGAGAGAGAGAAAGAGAGAGAGAGAGACAGCATGAGCAGGGGAGGGTCAGAGAGAGAGGGAGATACAGAATCTGAAGGAGATTCCAGGTTCTGAGCTGTCAGCACAGAGCCCGACGCGGGGCTCGAACCCAAGAACCATGAGATCATGACCTGAGCCGAAGTCGGAACCTAACTGCCTGAGCCACCCAGGCGCCGCTGTTAAAAGAGCTCTGACCTCACAGAACCCTGGGGTTTGTGGCCCACGCTTACAGAACCGCCCCTGCACAGGTGACTGTGGCCCCAGCTGGCCCGGAAGCCCGTCATCTCAGGAGTGTGTCCCCACACAGGTCTGCCCACGTCCTCTGCGGGTTCATCGCTGGGCTGGAGTCTGAGTTTATGGAGACCCTGTCCGACGAGGAAATCCTTCTGTCTCTGACCCAAGTACTTCGCAGGGTGACAGGTACCGAGCAAGCGTGTGCTGCCAGGGCACCGCCTGGGCCCCTGTTGGCGTTGTCAGCCTCCGAGGACAGTCGTCCCTTCTTAGTGGGGTCACTCGAGTTCTCATCTCTGAGGAACTGAAATAGCTTTGCCAATACTTTCCACTTCTTTTTTTCTGTTTCTGGGGGTTCTGAGTTAAGCAAAGTGGGTAAGACAGGGACAGCCCTCTGATGAATACACTCGTGGCTTGGGTTTTGCTCCGAGTACTTTCCTAACTTTCCAACTGCGGGGTCTTAAACGGAAAGGCTGCTGGGGCCGGGCAGGGGTGGTGCCAGGGTAACGAACGCACTGTGTCTGGTTCAGGAAACGCCGCGCTCCCCGCGCCCAGGAGCCTGCTGCGCTCGCGCTGGCACAGCGCCCCGTACACCAGGGGTTCCTACAGCTACGTGGCGGTGGGCAGCTCCGGGGCTGACGTGGACCTGCTGGCACAGCCCCTGCCTGTGGATGGCGCAGAGACGCAGGTGAGGTGGTGCGTGGGCAGAGTCCGTGGGATTTTTGAAATTATGGACTGGTACACGTGTATTATTTTATGAGAATTCTACACGCACATAGCCTAAAGCATCAGAGAGTTAGGGGCGGCTAACAAAATACAATCAACACGAGCTACAACAGGGGTGGAGGGCCCCTGACACCCCTTCTCAGACTGTTGCGGCTGAGCTTCCTCTCCCAAGTTTACCTCATCTCTAAACAACACGTTTATGCTGCCCCAAAACATTCAGTCGTGGAACACTTCGGATGTGCACAAGCAGGCAGAATCTTTGGGTCTCCGTCTCCAGCTTCCAAGCTGTCAGGTGGTGGCCGTCACTCACTCCCCCCCCCCCCCCCCCCCCATGAACTGTGCCCCACAGGCAGGCTGTTTTCCTGCAGATATGCCCACGTGCATCTCTAAGGAAGAAGGGCGCCCTCTGAAGTTGTATAACTCTAACATCATTAGCACAGTTACAAATTTACAGTCATTCCTCTGTGTCACCCAGCACCGTGTTCAGTTTTCCATGTGTTCTATGATCCCTTTTCGGTTTGCTTGTCTGATAATGTTACTCCTTGAATGTGTGGTTTGAGGCATCACTGATTGAATTCTCACTATGGCGGATAAGGTTTCAGATCTGTTCACTCCGGTGCCCCTCAGCTTCCCACGTGTGCGGCAGTACTTGGGTGAGGCCCTGTCCACACCTGGGTACGAGGAAGCTTCGACTCCTTTTCCTGCCTCTTTGTAGATGTGAGTGTGTGTTTGAGTGTGAGTGTGTGCAGTGTGTACATGAGCGTGGGAGAGACCATGCAGGTATCAGTTTTCTTTGCCTGGGCTCTGCTAACGGTTTACATCATCTCCAGCTCCCTTCCCTTGAGCCAGTGTCAGCTCCAGCCCTTGAGGCACAGCTGTGCCCATCCCCCACCTGCCCCTCTGTCCCCCCGTCCGGCACCCATGCCCTGCACCTGTCCCCCACCCGCCCCTCGCCCACACCCCCCACCCGGAGCCCACACCCTGCCTGTCTGGAGCCTGCGCCTCTTGCCCAGTCCCCGCCTGCCCACCTGCCCCCACTTCCCACCCTTACTTTGTTGGAGCATTTATTCCAGTAGCTTCTTGAGGAGGAGGTGCATGGGAGGTGAGTGTTTAGAGAAAGCTTGCAGGTATGAAAATGTCTTTTTCTACCCTTATACTTCAGGCGTTCCAGTCCTGTCCCTACAGAATAACCCGTCCTACACCCAGTGGTGGGAAGCAGATACTTTATTGTGCTGACAACCCTGTAGGTGGGCACAGGCGATTGTGCGTTTCTGCCACGTGATGTCCAGGGTCTCGGCTGGGAAGGCTCGGCCTGCAGGAATCACTCAGAGCTGGGGTGGGGGTCATCTGAGGCCTCTTCTCTTGCATGGCTGCCCCGGGCTGGGACCCTGGCTGGAGCGCCTGCCGTGGCCTATGTGGCTCCGGCTTCCTCATAGCACGGCTGCCCACGTGGCGCCCGGGGCTCTTAGCACAGGTGTTCCTGGCAGCAGGACGCTGACACTCCGCTGCCTGGCGCGGTCACACGCCTGCCCACGTGCCAGGGGCGGGGCACAGAGCCCACCTTTCTGTGGGAGGCGTCTCCAAACACTTGTAGCCACGTAAGAGCCACACATTGGGTGGAAATCCTAGCTTGAGAGGCACTTCCCTCAGCGTTTGGGACACATTCTCTGGTGCTGCTGTGGGGAAGCCCAGAGCCATTCAGGTCCCTTTCTTTCCTGCCTCCTAGGAAGCTTGGAAGAACGTTCCCCAACAGGCCCTGCTCTGGCCCTGCGGCCCCTCCCTGCCGCACGCGGTCACGGACGCCCCGCACCTCGCTTCACACCTCACGCCTCACGCGCTTCTACCCTGTGGCTGCTCAGTCAGTCGGGAAATTCTCTTGGATTAGCTCGTCTTCCCTTTGTTCTTTTTTCTTCTTTTTCTTTTTTTCTTTCTGAGATTTCTGTTGTTGGGATGCTGGGCTGGTCCTCAAATGTTCTTCTCTTTCTCCCTCCTAATTTCCATCTCTTTGGTGTTTCACTCTGTGTTTTGGATGATGTTCTCAACATTGCATCCCAAACAGTCTGTTGAGTTTTCCATTTTGCAGTAACATTTGATTCCAGGGGTGTTTGCTCATGTTATGGACCGTCTCAGGGCCCCGTGGGGTTAGAGAAGAATATTGTGACACACTTGCTCTGTGGCCACAGTGACAGCTGTGTGGCTGCAGCCTGCCTGCTGTGCCCTGTGCTAACCCCGGCTTCTCTTTGCAGCTCCAGGTCCTGTTTGCAGGGGAAGCCACACATCGGGCATTTTACTCTACCACGCACGGGGCTCTGCTGTCTGGCTGGAGGGAGGCCGACCGGCTCATCGCTCTGTGGGACCCCCAAGGACGGCTGCCTGGGCCCCGGCTCTGAGCTCTGCTCCTTCCATTCTGAGCCGGGCTCTGCCCCTCCTGTGCTGGGGGAGGCTGGCACCAACCTTTCCTCTGACAGTGTCTGGCCTGGCTCGAGATTTGGGGATGTTAATGACAGCCTTCTTTTTTTTGGTGACTGGGGGAAGCTCTCATTTATCACGGAGTCTGGGCAGGGCCGAGCTTGAGCTGAGCGCAGGGTCTTCCTGGAGAAGTGTGACGCAGGGCACCGCCGCCGCCGCTGAGGGTGTGCACATAAAGTGTGTCAGAGCCTCTGTGTCTCCTCATCCTTCCATCTCAGCGCTGCAGCATCTGTCTCTTCTGTCTTCACCTGGTCCCAGGCTGGGGTCACCGCGGGGCCCGGTGCCCCCTCCCCTGAGTTCCCTGAACTTTGGGAGCTGTGGCTGCCCCTGCTCCCAGGCATCCCATGGTGTCCCCGAGCTCTCATTGCTGGTGCTCAGAACCGCGCTGACAAGATACTTTAGCTGACACCCACGGCAGCGTGGTGGGCTGGGTGGGGGCCAGGCAGTGGGAGACATCAGTGCACAGAGCACCCCTCCCTGACCTGGGGCCAGAGGTTTTCTGGAGGAAGTGAATGAACAACGAGGCCTCAGGAGTGCAGAGGAGGGGCACAGCTGGTGTGTCAGGGTGAGTGGGGAGCGCGTCAGCAGCGGGCAGTGCTGGGGTGAGAGTGTGGGGTCTGCTCAGCTGACCTCATCTTACTTTGCTGTGCTCTCCAAGTGTCCCAGAGAGGGCGTCCAAGTGCCGCCATTTTCACAGCTGGGGAAAGCATGAAGTACCTAGAGGTCAAGGTCAGTAATTACCCAGTCTCATGACTGCCACCTCAGAGCTTGGGCATCTTCCCAGGACAGGCCCTGCGGGGAGGCAGGTGTGTCTGGAGGGTGGTGCTTTGAGAGTTGTTTGGAGGCTCTAGCAGGGGACCAAAGAACGGTCCTCCTCTATCGGGGAAGGTCGTCCTCTTCGACCGAGCACGCGGCTTCGGGAGGGACGCGCATGGAGCGGTGAGGCAGGAAGGGGACACCCGCCTAGCCAGCCGAATCAGCTCAGCCGAATCAACCCTGGCGATCAATGGGGTGACAGATGTCGCAGCCAGATCGCCCTCACATCCTGGAGGGTGGTGCTTTGGAGGAAGGCGCAGGAGCTGCAGAGGCCTGGACCCCACGCTGCAGCCAGTGGGGCTGCTGGCCCCGCACCCACTTTGAAGTCGGTGGCTTGTGCCTGTCCTCGTATCTCCGGCTGCAGTCTGTGTCCTGCTGCAGGGTGGGGGCACCCTGGCTCGGGGTGACTGTATGTGTGTTTGGAAGAAGGGTCTTGGGGCCAGGTCTATCTGGGCTATTCCCCAATCCCAAGTGGTGCCCAACATGCCCTCGGCCCCAGCACACTATGCACAGGCCCTTCTCATACCTTCCCCTCTGGGATTGGATAGCCTCTCCGAGGGGTCTTCCCTGCCTCCACCCTAGAGATCTGTATGTGTGTCCCTGCTGTGTGTCACTGGAGTGATTTTGCATGGGACACCTACCACTGAGCTGTGAGAGAAAGGATTCAACAGGTCTTTTTTTTTTTTTTTTTAATATTTATTTCTGAAAGAGCAAAGGAGCACACAAGTGGGGGAGGGAGAGAGAGAGAAGGAGACACAGAGCCTGACACGGGGCTTGAACTCAAGAACCGTGACACCATGACCTGAGCCGAAGTTGGACGCTTAACTGACTGAACCACTCAGGTGCCCCAACAGGGTTTTACTTTGGTTTACAGTCCAAGGTCTCTGAGAGCCTGCAGCGTCCCTCAGGTGCAGTGATCTGTATTGTTGACATCCGTCCAAGGTTTCATTGAGTCACATGCTTTTGGGAGACGTTTCTTGTATCCAGAGTGGCAAAGGCTGTCCTTGTGGTGGGACACCTGCTTGGTGAGGAGGGGCTGGAGGCTGGTGTCTAACTCATCTGGAAGCCACCTGGGATGGCTTATCTCCCATGGTGGGGAGTTGTTTCTTAACACTTGGAATGTTTAGTGCTGACAATTAGGAGGTTTAAGACCAACACAGTAGTGACATTTTTGTGCTGAGAATCTTTATTGCTGAGAAGCATGTTTGGAATTTTAGGAACTTGTTTCAAAAATTCCATTTAGAGTAATACTCTTGTACCCAGTGTGCACTGAGTAGTTGGTTGGACTCAGATTTAAAGCTAAAACCTGGGGCTCTTGGGTGGCTCAGTTGGTTGGGCCTCTGACTTCAGCTCAGGTCGATCTTGCCAGCACATGAATTGGAAGTCCTTGTTGGACTCTGTGCTGACAGCTTTGAGCCTGGAGCTGCTTCAGATTCTGTGTCTCCATCTCTCTCTGTCCCTCTCCTGCTCCGTCTGTGTCTCTCGCAAAAATAAATAAACAAACAACCCCGCCCCCCAATCCAGACTACATTTACACAGAGTATTGGAGCAGTGGGAATTCCAGGCTCAGTGTGTTAACAGATTTAATGTAGCAGAACTGCAGTCAATATTTGGAAAGGCTTTGTTTAAAACCTGGAGTACTTGAAAAAGGAAAAGAGGATATTACATAAATAGGGTACATTTAAAATATTTGAAAATTTTAACCAAGTTTGTAAAAAGAGGTCAAACACTGGCAGGGGACAGCTAAGTTATGTTACAGTTATACCCAGAATACATTGAAGGAAGAACTGGAAAACGCTAATGTATCCACGAATGCCCAGGCCTCCTGACAAGTCCCCGGAGAGCACAGGCCTCAGGCCGGCTTGTGGCCCCGCCCCCGCCCCCGCCCCCGCCCCGCCCCCGGGCTCCTTCCCGCGCCCAAAGAAGTGTAGTGCGCACGCGCGGGCCGCACGGCTGTCTCTTGAAGCGCCGGAACCAGCAGACCGGGTGGTGGTGGGCTGGCCGGAGAGGTCCGTCGAGGGAGAGGTTCCTCCGCGCAGTGCGACGCTCCAGGTCGCAGCGCCATGAGGCTGGCATCCCGTGCGCTGTGCGGCGCCGCAGGGGTCGCCTGGCGAGAGAGCTTCCCTCTGGGCGGTCGCGACGTGGCGCGCTGGTTTCCGGGCCACATGGCCAAGGGTGAGCGGGGCCCTGGAGGGGCCTGTGTTTGCGCGGTCAGGCCCGGGGACCCCGGCACCCGCTCGCTCGTTAGGCTGCCCGCGCGCTGGGCGGGAGGCGGCGGAGGCCCGGGGGCGGGCCTGAGGCCCCGCAAGTCCCTTCTGCCACTTTGTTCCCTCAAGCCTCCGTTTCCACATCTGTGTCTACAAAGCCGTACTTTCCTGAATCTTGTTTTAGCACCAGATGAAATGGTGGTAGGAAAGCCCTCGCCGAGCTGCGAATATTCAGTTATTGTCACTGCAAACCGTTAAGACTCGGGCGTTGCTGTTTTCTGCCTGAAACCCTCTAGGAGTCTTGCTGTTGGTTTGTAAAAATGTGCGTGAGCAGACGCGTGGGCTCGGCGCGGTTCTCCGTGTCAGCGATCGCCCGGTGCCGCTCCCCTCAGCGCGCTCTGCTCGTCGCGTAAACGGTGAGCGGGTGCCCGCTGCGCCCGCCCCTGCGCAGTGCGGGGCGCAGGTGTCCGCCCTCGGGCGTCCGAGGCTGTGCGGAGGACCCGGCTGCGCGGGGCGTCTCCGGCTGAGGGCCACTGCTGGGGAAGGGGGTGCTTTCCTTCGCTGTGCGTGGTGTTCCTGGTTAAGGGAGAGTCCAGTGCTGTGCGAGCGTGTGGCACGTCCAGGCCTGTGGCTGAGGTCGAAACTTAGGCAGCAGCATGTCCACAGAGCGTGGAGGGCCCAGGGAGTTGGGTGGTCAGAGTTACCCTTTTAAGGCTGAGACCAAGACCCATGGATGTTAAATACTGCACCCGGAGCCCTAGAAGTGGCTCCACCCCAGACATGCTGCTGCCCTTCAGGCAGGACCTCTTTCTGGAGACACCGTTGTTGAATTTGGAAGCGATCCTCAGCTAGTGGGTGTCAGTTATGGTGACTTAAGATCTGCACTCAGATGTATTCTCTTTAGGTGGTCTGTGGTGGTGTGTCATTCTTGAGCGTTCGGCTTCACCCAGTCCCTCTTGAAAAGCCATACACGCCTTCCCTTAGGCATCTTTCTTCTGTTTTCCAGGGCTGAAGAAGATGCAGAGCAGCCTGAAGGTGGTGGACTGTATCATCGAGGTCCATGATGCCCGGATATCCTTTAGTAGTGGTGATACTGTGATTTATGATAAGTTTGTATATACACACATATAGGTAAATAAGTACATATAGGTGAATATATAGGTATATATGGGTGTGTGTGTATATATATACATATATGTATATGGATGTACATATTTGGTCTTTGTCCCTGTTTCTGGCACAGGGCTCCTAAAACTTTGGGTATTTCTTTTTTTTTTTTTTTAAGTTTATTTAAAACTTATTCATTTAAATAAGTTTATTTATTTTTGAGAGAGAGAGAGAAAGAGTGGGAGAGGGGCAGAGAGAGAGGGAGAGAGTGAGAACACTGACAGCAGAGAGCCTGACGCAGGGCTCAAACCGATGAACTGTGAGGTCATGATGGAGATCATTACCTGAGCTGAAGTCTGACACCAGCCAAGCCACCCAGGCACCACAAACCCAGGGTGTTTCTTAAGTGATGAGAGTGATAAGAAGGTGTCTGTTACGTTGACTAGGTGACTTTTGGAAAGCTACTAGCTCTCTGAAGTTTGAGGGCTGGTTGCCAGGGGAGATGCTAGGGGCTGGAAGTGGGATTGATTGCCAGTGGCCAATGATTTAATTAATCAAGCCTGTTTAATGAAACCTAAAAAAACCCCTAAAAGGACAGAGTTCAGAGAGCTTCTGAGTTGGCAAACGTGGATATGGAGGGAGAGGGCACTTTCAGAGCATGGAAGCTCTGTGTCCCACTCCCTCATGCGTTGCCTTATTCGTTTCTTCTATCTGGCTCTTCCTGAGTTATAACCTTTTATAATAGGCCAGTAATCTAGTAAGTAAAATGTTTCTCTGAAGTGCTGTGAGCTGCTCTAGCAAACTTCTTGAATCTGAAGAGGGGGTTGTGGGAACCTCCCACCTATAACAAGTTGGTCAGAGGCAGGGTGACCACCTGGACTCGGGATTGGCACCTGACGGTGGTGGAGGTGGGGTGGGGAGGGGGTACATTGTGAGACTGAACCCTTAACCTGTGGGGTCTCTTTCTCCAGGCAGATAGTGCCAGAATCGAGTTAAATTGTAGGATGTCCTGGTGGTGCGTCAGAGATGCTTGGTGGTGTCCCCTACCCCCTTCCATTCCCAACGCTTGGAATTGGGTGTGGGGATTATAGTGGCACAGAAGAGGCCCTCCTTCCTGCATCAGGCCGTGCTCCAGGCCTCAGGAAGCATTCCTGGCTTGTAGCCTTGTCTCCACCCACCTCCCCTGTCTGGTCTCTGCTCTGGTCTAGTCTGATTCCATAGTGGCTGGCAGCCTCACCTCTCGTAGTTACTGGCATTTAACTCGAACCCTCACTACATGATAGAGTTCCCGCAGGAGGCTTTAAAAATCCTGATTTGGACCCCTTTCCAGACTGGTTAATCAGAATCTCTGGTGCGGGGTCCAGGCCTTGTATGTTTTGAGGCTCCCCATTTATAGGTAGGTATGATTGCTTGCCTCTGACCTCTGCCTGCCATGCCCAGGCCTTCCAGGTTGAGGTGGGGTCTGCAACCTTCATTTCGAAGGCCTTGCCTGCAGGGCTTTCCTCCGTGCTTGAGGTGGGAACCGGCAAGGTCTGGTGATCTTGCTCCTTAACATGTACTTTTCAGACCCTGTTTTTATTGTATTTGAGCTATGCCTGGATTCTCTTTGTGTGGTAAAGGCGTTGGTTTGAGAGTTCTTACCACTTCAGGGACAATAGATGAGGACAGTTTTCACTATTTCAAAGAGTTGGAACTTTTATATTAAAGTATTGAGTTTATTTATTGTAGGTGAAATATTGTAGGATATCTGATGCTGGCCAAAAGTGTTTGCTGGCAATCATGTTTGATTATCAAAAATGAGGAACCTGTAGTTACTATTCAGTGCTTTGTAAGAGGACACCTGTCCTGTTGGCTTCTAGATGTCTGCCCTTTTCTCCAGGACAGCCCTAGGCTGGGTTGCAACCCTGGGATGGAGTCTGAATTATACAGGATTGGTTAACCCTTGAGGGAAGAGTGTGATTTGTGGCTGTGGGCACAGCAGTTTAACTGGTACCTGGGCCCAGGGTGTGCCCGAGGCCTCAGGAGTCAATAGGAGATGAAGCACCGGGTAGGGGCTGAGTGTTCAGAAGATAAATATATGGGCCTCCCCTCCTGCCTGGGTTATGGTCCCATGAGGTGGACCTGTCATGATCCCCCAGGGTCCCTGGCCGAGGGAGGAAAGGTCTGGCAGTGCTAGTAAGGAGGCGGAACCTTCAGTGGTGGTTTCCGTGGGGGACCTTCATCTCCTTGGCAGTAACCAGAGGGTGGCAGTGGTTTGAGGTAAACTAGTTAGGACTTTACAGGAAGCACTCTTTTTAAGTGATCAGGTCATTCATTTTGAACTCATGTATCTTGGCAACTAAACAAAGAACCCGCTATAAAACCTTCCGCTGGGCTTTGTTTTTTGGTTTTGCCACCACCATTCCCGTGTGAGAAGGCATGTGGGAACCACTGCCCTGCTTGCACGCGGTGGTTCCGTGGCAGTGAGCCGGTGTCCTTCCCCTCTGCCAGGAGGGCAGGGCTGCGGTGTGAGGTGGGGCTGCCTCCTCTGCTCGGTGCCTTCTAAACATTTTCCTCTGGGGGCGCCTTGGCAGGCTCAGTTGGTTAAGCTTCTTGGTTTCAGCTCAGGTCGTGATGGGAAGATTGAGCCCCGCATCAGGCTCTGTTCTGACAGTGCGGAGCCGCTTGGGATTCTCTCTCTCTGCTTTTCTCTCTGTCCTTCCCCTGCTTGTGTGCACATGCTCCCTCTCTCAAAATAAATAAATAAACCTTAAAAAAAAGAAAAGATTTTCTTTTGAAAGTGGTGCCGATCTGCATAACAAGATGAGACAAATTAATGGACTAGTAAAGCACTAAAGGTATTTTTGCCTTAATTTTGCCACATTCCACTTTCAGGCCGCAACCCTCTGTTTCAAGAAACCCTGGGGCTTAAGCCCCACGTGCTAGTCCTCAACAAAATGGACTTGGCGGACCTGAAAGAGCAGCAGGTGAAGGTCCCCGTTCCAGACACTTCCAGCACCAGGGTTGTGTCTAGGGTCACCCTCGCAAGCAGACTCCATGTTGATTCGGTCAGGCAGGCTGACTTTAGCAAACAGCCTTTTGTTTGCAGAGTATTTCCGCATGATTTCTCGAAATGACATGCTTCTCTCTAATGCTTAATTTATGGTCTAGGTGACCAGAAAGTGCATCTCCCATGGGAGGTGGCCAGGCTTTGCTGCTGGAGCCAGGTGCCCCACTGGGTGTCCTCTGGCCCAGTGTGGCTCCTGCTGCAGACGCGATACTCATGTTATGTTTCATTTTAGTTAAGTTTCAGTAGCTGTTTGAGGCTGGTGGCCATAGGCACAGGCCACAGGTACTGACCTGGAGGTCTCCTGTGATGGCTGCATTTGCCCCAGGCACCCACACTGGCCAGTTCCATGGCCTCCCAGATGCCCAGCCAATCCTGCACACCAAGTGCACTGGCAGCTAAAAGGGCCTATAGGCCCAAAGTAATGTCTTCGAAGCAGACAGGATCGGGGGCACTAGTGACTGAGTGCAGGGCATGTCCGTGTGCCCCAGAGGGACAAGAAACATGAAGGTCTGGGCGTATTTTTGAGTGTTCACCCTGCTTTTCTTGCTGTATTATTGCATCCTTGCCGAAGGGCAGGTGCCAGGCCCTTGTGGGTTCCAGCCAAGCTGTTTTCAGGCCGTTAGTGGCGCAGTGTCTGCTCTGCAGGGAGAGTGCACGCTGGCTTCTCAGCTGGTCGTGGTGTGTTTGGATCACTTAAACCTCAACCAAACCTCTGTCACAAGGTTTCCGGGGAAACATCAAATACAGGAGCGCTTTGTTTACTGAGAATCCAAGCAGAGGCGACCCCTAACTCATGTGCAGGCACCTCTGGTCATTTAAATCCCTCCTGCTGTGCAGAACGGGGTGGCTCCAGCGCCCCCAGAGCAAGGTGTTCGTCTGTCTACTTAGCATCACAGGCTTTGCTTTTATTGGTTGAGACATGAGTCTTATCAGTGATTGCTTCTGCTTTAAGTGTTAATTTTTGTGGAGTGTTGGGCACGTAATGTGACCTAACCTCGGGACAGAGCGGTGTGTCACCTGGCTGGGAGGTGCGGGAGTGTCTGCTCCTCCTCTCAGGTGTTCCTCATGCAGAGGAGCCCTGGGCACGGGTCTTGGGGAAGAGAGGAGAAGGCTCCAGGGTGGCCCCTCATTTCTGTCTCTGGGTAGTGGGTGGGGACATTCCATGTGAATGTATACACTTCAAAAGGTGGTTTCAAATATGTCTTTGTTGTGGCCTGTATCCTCATCTGTATCATAACAAACAAAGCATGTAACAAAAACTAAGTTAGCAAATGACTTTTGGTTCATTTAGGCATTTTTAGGTCAGTAGGTGGTCAAACAGTACCAAACTGGCTTTTTAAAAATATGATTCCTACATTGATTTCACTTAATATTAGGATCAGTAAATTCATATTAACTTTAGTTTAGTTTCGAGCTTTTAAAGCATTGCATATACTTTGTATTTGGATTGGGTTCAGGCCTGAGTTTATAGTGATAGTTTTGTGAGAGCTCGTCAGAATACTCAGGACTAACCAGATTGCCACATCAGCCAGAGCTGCAGAATTTCACGCTGGAAGTGGCTCATTTTCTTTCCATGAAGGTGCCGGCGTCCTGAGAGAGCAGCAGTTTCTGTGCTGAGCCCTCATCCCCACTGGAGCCTGGAGCTCCGGGCGCCTGCCCAGGGCACTTCCCTCCTGTGCTTACACGGGAGCCCCCTCTTAGTCTGGGCGGTCCATGGGGCCTCCTTGCCTAGAGCACACCTTGCCCGGATGGGGGTGGGCCTTCAATCTCAGATCCTTAGATTTTAGCATATCACATCCATATTTTCATTTAATTTTTAAAATGAAAATATCTCTTTCAGAAAATTATACAACACTTAGAAGGGGAAGGCCTAAAAAATATTGTTTTCACCAACTGTGTAAGGGATGAGAATGTCAAGCAGGTAGGTGTTTCTTTGTTTTACACTCTAATGCTTTTGCTTAAATACATTTAAAAGAAATCCCATGGGTTACCTTATGCTCTTATAAGAAGCAGAGTTGTGGTGGCAGTGGAGGAGTTTGCTGGGGTGCCTGGGGCGCACTTACCTCTGGTTGAGGGCAGGTGAGCCCCGGGCAGCCTGCAGGCTGCAGGCCACAGCGCCAGGCTGTAGCGTGCTCCCTGGGCTGTTGTTGGACAGGCACCTGGAGGGTGTGGTGCCTCGTTTTCCGCAGTTGTATTTTGAGGATTTCCTTGGCTGACGTATCTTTGTGGAAGGTGGCTGCAGTCACAGCCGTCACCCTCTGGGGGATTGACCTGCTTGCTGGTGGTGGAAGGACAGATCAGAGCACAGGTGACCCCCCCCCCCCAGCACATTCTAAATCCTGATGTGGACAGAGCCCTGGTCCCCCGATGCTGGACATGGGGGTACACCACCTCTAGAAGCTAAGGGAGAAGTCAGTTTCTGTGCGAGCGTGCCACTGCGTGGTTTGTCTTTTGCAGATCATCCCGATGGTCACGGGACTGGTTGGGAGCAGCTACCGCTATCATCGAGGTGAGGTCAGTTGTGGGGCCCAGTACTGGCTGTGGGGTGGTCCCTCCTGCAGAGGAGTCCTGGGCTCAGCGGCTAAGCAGTGGGTGGACCAGTCCCCATGCTGGGCTGTCACTGAGCCCCGTAACTCCTGGGGGCCCTCTCTGTGCTGCCCCACAGAGCTGCCCTCTGTGCTCTTGTTTGCAGCAGGGGTGGGGGTGGCCCTGTTGGGTTGGCAGGCCTCCATGGTAACCTTTCTTCCCCTGAACTGGCCTGGGTTTGTGGGTTCCACTGCATGGGCCACCTGAGGCTCTCGGTGGGGCTGTGAGTGGTCTGGGTAGAGTCCTGACGCCCTGCTCATGTGCCTCTGCAGAGCCTAGAGTTCTGTGCCATGGTGATTGGGATCCCCAACGTGGGCAAGTCCTCACTCATCAACGCGCTCAGGAGACAGCACCTCAAGAAAGGTACTGCTGGCCATGTGAGCTGACGCTGTGGTGCCTTGCTCTTTCTGGCGAGCGGCCACTCTTCCTCTGGCCCCAAGACAAAACTTATCCATAGCCAGGGCCTCCTGGCCCCTCAGGGTTGTCTCTTTGCAGCAGGAGGACCCAGGTAACTGATGTAAAATTAAATGGTGAGACAGAGTCATCCTGTCACAGATTTTATACTTAATTCGTTCTCTTACCTGAACATGAAGTGCTAAGATGTTTAACACGTGGATGACTTTTCTGCCCATTGGTGATTTTGTGTTCTCCTTCGTGGAAGTCTCTTTGGTGTTGGTTCTCAAGGCGTAGCCAGATAGATGGGGGCTGATACCAGGCAGAAGGCAGTTGATGGGGCAGCCCCCTGGCTGGGTGATTGGGATCCCCAATGTGGGCATCCTGCCCAGCTGCTCAGGAGTGGCCCCCAGGAGTCCCCGGGCCTGTCTCCTTTTTTCCATTAGGTATTTCAACGTTTAGTACCAAGTCCCACACTAGCTTCATGTTCCACACCAGCGATGCATTCTTTATCAAGAAACCCAAACACTGAGCTCCGCTGAACTGTTCAGTATTTTACAGATGGTGTTTTTGGTGCTTGTTGGAGAATTGTCAAATCACCTTTTATTTAAGTTTACTTTTCTCTAATTGTGGCTTAAAAAAAAATGGTGGCATTAAGTATATTCAGTGCTGTGCAGCCATCACAGTATTTCTGCACGTTTCCATGGTCTCACACTGAGTGAGTCTATAAACATAAGCCCTAGCCCCCTCTCCCCTCCCACTGCCTGGGCACCTCTAATCTGCCTTCTGTCCCTGGATCTCTCTGGTACCTCACACGAGTGGAATCACACAGTATTTGTCCTTTTCTGTTGGACTTTTTCACTGAGCATAATGTCCCCAAGGTCCATCCATACTGTGGGCCGTGTCAGAATTTCGTTCCTTTCCAAGGCTGAATAATATTTCCTTATGTTTATATTACTGTGTTTTGCTTTTCCATTCATGCACTGATGGACACATGTATCTCTACCCTTGAGTTTATCTGGCCCCTTGGTCAGGAGCCGTGCTCCCAGACAGGCCTGTTGTGGGCCGTGCTGTGGGGGCAGCCGGGTGCAGGCTCGGTGCTGGGGGGCACAGGGGTCAAGTCCAGGTGGGAGGAACCCACTGTGAAGAAGCAGTAGCTCTGTGCTGACCTCCACAGCCAGGCGGTGCCTGTCCTCACCCTCCCAGGCCCCAGGGAGGCACATTGCGGTCCCTGCTGGTTTGGAGCTGAATTGAGCATGAGCTCATCTGGGTCTTCGTCGGTTTCCGGGTGTGTCATTTCTTCTTCTGAAGCTTGTATGCAGGCTTCTTGTGTTTAGTACATCCAACACCCCCTTTTCATCCCACAGGGAAAGCAACCAGGGTGGGCGGCGAGCCTGGGGTCACCAGAGCTGTGATGTCCAGAATCCAGGTGGGTCCTCGGCTGCTGGACCAGGAGCTGCACGCGCAGGCGCCTGCTGCTTCCTGAGGGCTTGGGGGGCGGCGCGCCCGCCCTCTTCACCCAGCCCGCCGAGTGTTGCCGCACTTCCATCAGCTGTGGGGGGCGTGCTCGTCACCCCTGTTTTATGGAGGGGGAAGCAGGCACCTGCCTAAGGTCACTCAGTGGCCCGTTCCCTCAGGCTCTGCTCAGCTTTTCTATGCGTTCCCTTTTTCCCCTGGGAGAAGCCTGGGGCCTTTGGGGGCTATTGCTCTTATTCTCTGAACTCAGTGGGAACTGGCCCAGTGGGGCACCACGAGCTTGGTGGAAAGGCCTCCTCGGAAGCTCAGGAGCCTAACACCCGGCTCTGGGGGCCGCCCAGCAGCAAGCCTGCAGGGAGCCGCGGGCGCAACGGGCCTCCGTGTCCACAGGTGTGTGAGCGGCCGCTGATGTTCCTGCTGGACACTCCTGGGGTGCTGGCTCCTCGGATCGAAAGCGTGGAGATGGGCCTAAAGCTGGCCCTGTGTGGTGAGTTGGGGTCACCCTTCGTGCTCCTTCCTGCTGCCTGGGGCCCCCAGCTCTGGCTGGTTGTGCCTGCCTTTCCCGGCCTTGCTCTTGCACACCCTTGAACGCTGTGCCGAGTGGAGGTCTCAAGCAGCCCGTGCGGTCCTAGCTCAGGGCAGACGAGGGCCAGGCACTGCTCCGGCCCCACTGATCCGCGCAGCCCTTCTTGGAGAGAGCGCCTTCCTCCTCCCATGTTACAGCCGGAGTGGAGAGGCCAGGTCCCTTCTCCTCAGCAGCACCTCTGGCTGAGACAGGGAGGGGCCCTGGGGTACAGAAGCCAGGCTGGTGTGCCAGGCTCACCCTGGCTGCCCCATTCTAGGAACCGTGTTGGACCACCTTGTTGGGGAGGAGACCCTGGCCGACTACCTTCTCTACACCCTCAACAGGCACCAGCTCTTTGGGTGAGTGCAGGTACGGGGCAGGCAGCTCGCCTCTCTCTCGTTCTGGACAAACATAGTTAAAAAAATAGCAACATTAAGATATTATTAGACAAGCAGCCTGCGTACTGTTTGATGTGTTTGTTACACAGTCAAGAAGAGCCCCAAACTTCTTGTGCTCTTCGGGGGTCCCTCCTTCCTGCCTTCTCCTGCTCCTGTTTCGCAGAGACCCCAAGCCCCGCACGCCACACCCTGCTGGCCATCTGTTCTCTGTCCTTTCCTCTGACATCCTGTGCTCTCTCTCGCTGAGTTCCTGTCCTCGGCGTGACCACTTTCAGATCCCTCTGTGTGGTGCCATGAGTCGCTCCTTCCTGGTATAGATTTACACCTTGTTTGTTTGCCCAGGAGCAAGATGTGACTCCAGGGTGTTTGCTGGGTGTCCTTCATTGCGTTGAGGACCGCAGTCTGGCCAGAGCTTTCTCGGTTTTATTGATTTGGTTTCATTGACTTTCTCTGTTGTTTGTTTGTTCTTTCATTGATTACTGTTCGGTTTTATTATTATTTCTGTTTTGCTGGTTTTCCTTCTGTTTTTGCCTTTGGTTGTTGAGAGAAGGTACTGAAATCTCTGCCTGTGGTCGGTCTGTCTGTCTTGCAGCTCTGTCTGTCTGCTGCAGCATTCGGGAGCCCTGTTGTGAGGTGCGGGACAGTCTGGGGGTCATCATGTCCTCCCGATCTGATGCCTTTATCGGTCAAAATGACTTTCTTGATCTTCACAATACTTTCTGCTCTGACACCGACCTCATCTGGTGGTTACACACTTACTGCAGCTTCTGATGAGTGTTCATGTGGTGCGTATTTTCTTATCCATTCACATGGAGCGCGTTTGTGTCTTTATATTTAAAATGTGTTTCTCAGGGTGCCTGGGGCACTCAGGCAGTTAAGTGTCTGACTCTTGATTTCAGCTCAGGTCATGGTCTCACAGTTCGTGGGATTGAGCCACTCTCTTCCCCTCCCCCGCTTGCACACGCACGTGCTCTCTCTCTCTCTCAAAATAAATACATGAATTATTAAAATAAAATGAAATCAAGTATGTTTGTCATAGGCTGTGTACAGGTAGTGAGGTCTTGTTACTTATCCAGTCTGACCATTTCTGTCTTTTATTTTGGGTATTTGGACTATTTACATGTGACGTGATTATTGACGTTAGGGTTAAATTTGTCATCTTACTCTTTGTTCCATATGTCCCTTGTTCCTTTTCCTTTCTCTGCATCTGCCTGCCTCTCTCTCTGCTCTCTTCATCTTTCTCTCTGTCTCTCTCTGCATCCTTGTCTATGTCTCTATCTCTTTCTCTCCCTCTTTCTCTTCCTCTGCCTCTCTGTCTCTGTCTCTCTCTTTGGCCTTTTCTAGATTACTGGGACTCTCATCCCCTCCCTCCCCTGCGTCAGCTCGCCTCTGTAACGCTGAGAGGAGGTTGCCTCAGGGTGTGAGGAGGGTTAGGTGATAGACACGTCTCATGGAGCGCAAGCACCTTACGATAGTGTATCTCCATATTTCTCGTGATCTTTGGGCTTTTGTTGTTTTATATCTTGTTTTCATGTATTTTGTAAGCCTGAGATGTACTGTTTTTGCTCCTACAGACACTTCAAGTATGAGAAGTAATCTTAGCGTTTGTCCAGTGCTTTACAGTTTGTGGACAGTGCTTGTTTCTCTGCAGATCCACGTTCTGTCCGGGGTCGCCGTCCCCTGGTGGTCTCCTGTAGTGTGTACTGCGATGCAGGCCTGCTGCTGAAGTTTGTTCAGAGAGGCCTGTATTCCATGTTCGTTTTGGAAAGGCACTTGCCCTCTGTGTGAAGGTCTAGATGGACAGTTATTCCAGGACTGGAGGGATGCTGTCCCACCCCTGTCTCACCGGCTCTTTCTGGCGAGGACTCTGTCACACGGTCTTTGTTCCTCCAGCTGCCTGTAGGCTTGTCTCTCTGTCTTGCTTTTGAGCAGTTTATGAGGATGGGACCCGTATGGTTTTCTTCATGTTTCTCGTGTTTATAGTTTGCTGAGTTCTTAGATCTATGGCTTTGTAGCTTTTACCAGATTTTCAACCATTATTTCTTCCTGTTTTCAGTTCCCGCCTGCTCATGTCCTCAGGAACAGCTGTGCACGCTGCTGCCCTGTGGGCGACCCGCCTGCACCCTGCCTGTCTGGCCCGCTGCTGGTGCCCGCCAGTGTGTGTCCCACAGTGCTGGTCTCTGGTCCAGTTTGGATCATGTTTTACATCTTCTGTGTATCTACTTAACTTTGTAACCACGTGGAACGTGGTCATAATGACCGATTTAACGTCTTTGCTGATCCCAACATCTGGAGCACCTTCAGCTGACCGACTCCCTCCCCACGATGAGTCTGGTTCCTGCTGTGCATGCTGGGTCACATTTGCTTGGGTGCTTGGCGTTTGGAATTTTACCTTTCTGAGTGATAGGTGTCTTCAAGTTCCTGCACAAAGCCTTGAGCTTTGCTTGAGACAGTTATCTGGAAACAGTTCTTTCCAGGCCTGACTGAGGCAGGGCCCCCACCCCCTCCGCTGCACCCGGTGGCTCACGAGGTTTCCATCTGCTCCTGGCTCTCTGTGAGCACTGACCACCGCCCTTGTGCCTTCTGGGTGGTCCTTCCTGGCCTCTGCTTTGGGGACGTTCCTTTCTCATGTGTGCAGATCCCTCGTCTGCTAAATACGGAGGATGGCAGGCTTCCAGAATTCTCTCTGGGCAGCTCTGCCCTCTCTGGTTCTGTCGTGGGACTTTACTGGGCCCGCACTCCGGCCACCCTCCGGGCCCCCTGGGGCCTCCAGGTGCCAGGCTAGGCAGTTGTCAGTCACTATTTACATGCTTTGTAACGTGAGTTGTGGTGCCTTAAAACCATCATTTTGTATGTTTTTGGTTGTTTCAGGTGGGAGGTAAATTCAGTTCTCGTTACTCCCATTTTGCATGGAGGTAGTGGGATTTCAAATTAATTTTTTTGTTTCACTTGCACGGGAGTCTGTGTGGGCCTCCACGGCCCTGTAGCGTTTCTAGAGAAGAGGCAGCCGTCTCCTGCAGGGGCAGCCCCTGGGTGTGTGCTAGTGTGGGGTGCACGGGACAGAGGGGCCGCAAGTTTGATTTGGGACCTGCCTTCCTCAGGATGCAGACGCCCTCCGAGATGGGCACTCTGGTACCCACGTGGGGTCTCCTCGTGGCTGAGCCCCCCACACTGTGGACCCACAGGTGAATCCCACCGTTCGCCCTGGCTGCCGGGAGGTTTAGGGACAGTTGACCAGCAGAGGTGTTGGTCGTGTCTCCCGGCTCCTGGGGTTCAGGGAGGTGCTTATCTGTGGATGGGGCTTGTCTCCTTCAGCCCTTCAGGATCAGACCTGCCCGGCCCTGTCCTGGCCTTTCCCATCAAGCCCAGAGCCAGCGTCTCGTGGGGCAGGGAGTCCCCAAGAGACACCAGACGGTTCTCAGCAGAGGCGGGTACTGAGTCGGTTTGTGCCGGTCCGCGGGCTACAGAAAACAGCAGTCAGCCCTGCTCATTCTTCCCTAGAGAGAGTGCTGGCGACCCTGGCGACCCTGACCTTGCATGCACCCAGAGGCACTGAGCGTCTCCCGCTCGGGAGCCGGGTGGATGACGCAGCTTTCCCGCCATGGCAAGCACAGGCTCCAGCGGGGAAGTGGTCCTCAGGGCAGCTGGCCGTGGCCACGCGGGAGGACAGGCGTCAGCAGCTCCATGGTGGGCGCTCATGCCCACGTGTGCGAGGGGCCCTTTGTGGAGCTGGGCGTGACCCAGCAGGTCCTGGCCCAGTACCCACTCCCCCGCTGCTGGTCTGTGTGTAGGTACGTGCGGCATTACGGCCTGGGCGGAGCCTGTGACGACATCGCCTCCGTGCTGAAGCAGGTGGCTGTGAGACTGGGGAAGACACAGAAGGTGAAAGTGCTCACAGGCACGGGTGAGATGTGGGGGCATCAGCCTCGGCCTGGGCTTGAAGGACCAGCCTGTTGAGCGGCCCCTGGCTGCTGGGGGAGGACCCTGTGGGCACACGTGGCTGTTCTGGAATGGAGGTTCTGCAGAGGGGCTGGCTCTCAGTCCAGCCTGAAGAGAGCAAGGTGGCCCTGCCTGGAGGTGCTGGGTACCCCCCCTCCCCCGTCCCACCCCTTTGAAACTGCTGAGGTCTAGACGCCACAGCCCGGACTGTTTTCCTACAGAACGTGCACTGGTGCCCAGGCTCCACAGATGCCCACCATCTGTCCCTGAGGACAGGCAGGGAGGCGTGTGTCTGAATCCTGCGCCTGCCCTGTGTGGAGGTGCCTTCCTCACCAGACCCTCTTGTTTCCCCCAGGTGACGTGAACGTTATCCAGCCCAACTATCCCGCAGCAGCCCGAGACTTCCTCCGGACCTTCCGCAGTGGGCTGCTGGGTCCAGTGATGCTGGACAAGGATGTCCTGCAGAGCCCCCTGGTGGCAGGGCCCTGAACTGGTCCAGCTGGCAGCGGCCTCGCTCCTGCCTGGCCCTTGGAAGATGTGGGGTGTCCCGGACCTTCACAGCCCAGAATCTGATGCTGGGACTCCCCTTCCCAGAGGCTCCATGCTGGTCACCGTCCAATCAGGTCTCTACTCCCGGAAGGAGCCCATGCCTCCTGCTCCACAGCCTGGCCAGCTGTTGGTTGTCAGGGACTGTGCCTGGGGGCTAGACATCAGGGCTGACGACGTCCCTAAGCTGTCCCTGAGTGCCTCAACTGTGCACAGTATCTCTTCGGGATAAGATGACATTTTCTCAGGAGGAGGTGAAAGTACAGTCTGTATTTTAAAAATCTCAAAAGGCCGGTCTCTGCTCGTGGCTCATTTGTTGTGCACCAGTAGCACCTTGGGCCCACGTGTTAAGATCTCTCACCAAAAAAACACAAAAAACGGGATGTGAACTGCTCAGTAAGTAAGGGCTCTTGTAGTAGGGCCTTGGTAGTGCCCTGGGTCCTGCAGTAAAGAAGAGTCTATTTGCCAGCGGAGTGTTTATTTCACGACACGACTAAAATGTGCACACAAAATGGACAGGAGGTTCCAAGTAGCTGTGGCCGTACCTAAGAACTGTTCCCTTGGTGCCCTGGGGGCTGCCCTGTTCATGGCCAGCTGCGTGCAGGCTGGGAGTGTCGCTGGTGTGGTCAAAGGGGACCCCAGGGCTTCCCACCATCCCGAAGCACCTTCTAGCTAACAAGACAGTGGGACTCTTTCCCAGGTAGCTTTACCTGCCAGGCTGCATTCCAGAAAAGGGCCCAGGGAAAGGGGGTGGGGTGGATCTGGTCTGCAGCTCTGCCCCTTCTGTGTCCAATGTGGGTGGCCTTCCTGGAGCCACCGGAGTCTCTGCCAGGCACCTCCCCTCCTGAAGGTGCCCATGCCGGCACATACTCCCTAACCTGGGATTACCCACCCTGGGTGCTGTCTGCCTCCTGCTGGGACCCTGACCAGTAGGGCAGGAGGCACTCTAGCATGTGACTGTGCCAGATGCGGATGGGCTCTGGGAGTCAGGCCGGTGTGGGGTGCCATGCAGCCTGTGAGGGCGTCTCAGAGGCCGGGCCTACGCCCCTGGCCCCTGAGGTAGAACCGAGTTGGCCTGAGGCGTGGCCCTGATGTCTCTCTGTGCTGCCTGCAAGAGTACAGTGGCAGAATGGTCACACTGCGCCTGAGGCCCAGGGCAGGGCCTGGCCATGGCCTGCTGGTCTTTGGTTGCATCAGATTTGGTCTGGAATGGATGGAGGGGCACCTGGGCTTGCACCCCAAGAACGCTGGCAGTGCCTATGCAGGATGTCGTGGCTCCTGGTCTTTGGAGAATGCTTGGTCCAGGGTTCCGCTGGTAGATTGGCAACCCTCACCCTGACCAGACCTGTGTGTCAGCTGTGGGTGAGCAGAGATGGGAGGCCCCCCCTCCCCTGGAGGTGCTGGTCTTGGCACTGGCATCTGTCAGCTGCGTCCAAAGGCCCCATAGTCTGGGGAGGGGGTGGTGGTGAGGGCAGACTCTGGGAGGCTTTCAGTGAGCACCAAAGTGGGGAGATCCAGAGGACTGGGACATTGTCCTGTCGAGGGATACGGGGTCGATGATGTAAATAAAGAGCCAAAGCCTCCAGGGCTGAGCTCACGAACAGTGAACCAGGCCAGAGGCTTGAGGGAAATGGACTTCCAGGCACCTGAAAAGCAAAGGGCTGGTCTGTAGACAGGTGTCTGTGTGCCAGAGGCAAGCCCTCGCGAGGCCCCTCCTGGCATTTCCTTAGATGCTTCCCTGGGTGTCTCCTGTCCTCAGAACACCCTCAGATGCCCGGATGGCTGCCGTGGTGTTGCAGGGGGTCAGCTTCCCGCATGCCGCCTTTTGCTCAGCCAGAGCAGTCCTGCATCTGGTTGTACTTGCTGCCACGGCCTGCCTCCAGGGACCTGCTTGTGGCCTGTTTGTTGGTTCTGACTTGAGATCCGGCTCCACCATTCACGCTTTGCCCTCACTGTCCTGGGCAGCTGCCTGCTGGGAGATGGAGATGCTGCTACAGCTGTAGACCTGCCAGAGCCACAGTTGGCTGTCCTGGGGAGCACTCTTCCGGGGGAGTGGCAGTCACCATCTGAGTGCCAGCAAGCACTGGTTCCAGAATGTGAGCATGACGCAAAGGAAATGAAAAGCTCCTGAAGTTTAAACTGTGGTTCCCCCCTTCCTTCCAAAACAGGTCCCAAGAAGAGTTAAGTGACTTGTTTCAAGTTAGAGCACAGCGGCTCCAAGAGGCGCCTGGCAGTGGTCTTGAGAGTGTCTGCCCAGGGAGGGGCACACTTCTGGGCCCCAGGGTGGGCTGGCCAGGCTCCGGGGCAGCTGCTGTGTCAGGGCGTGCTTGGGATTATCCAGAGAGCCACGATGGGCACGCCTGGGCTCCAGAGCCCACAGATGGCCTCTTCTGGACAGGTGGTAGGCACACTGAAACTTGTGAGGGAAACCTCTCCCCGCAAATTTTCAAGTCCATTGGTCCAGTCTGGCTGCTTCTGTGGGAGAGGCCACAGGCTTGTCAGGGGGGCCGGAAAGGCCTGAGCAGCCTGGTCTTGGGACATCACTTTAGGCAGCTCTGGAGAGATGGTGGTGTCCCAGCCTGGATGGGGTGGGGGGCAGGGGAGCCTGACATCCAGGCAGTGGGCAGGGCATCCTGGGACTGAAGGGCCCTGTCCTCTGGTCCGATGGGGGGTGTGGAGGCTGGGGAGGGACCTGGGCAGGGCAGTGGACGGGGGGAGGCAGTGGGCACCTGTAGGAGAGGCCGGAGCTCCAGCCCTGGCTGGCTGGAATCGCCCAGGCAGCTCCTCTGGGTCGGAAGCCATGGGCCGCGGTGGGAAGGGGTGCTCAGCCGCTGGCGGCCTCTGGGGCCGGCCCGGGGGAAGGGGGGGGGGGGCGCGAGGAGGGCGCGGGCTGGGGGCCAGATCGGCCCGAGCCCGGCCAGGCCTAGGGCTGTAGCAGCCCCAGGGCAATGAGGGCGCCGCCCAGCAGTAGGCAGAGGCCCGGGCTGCCGGCGGGCCCCGCTCCCGAAGTCCACGCCCGGTAGCTGTAGATGCCGTGGCCCGTCCGGTTGCCGCCCGATGCTGCGTCCTCGTCGTCGGTCTCCAGGCCGCCGTCCCCTGGGCCTGTGGCCCTTCCCCAGCTGGAGCCCGCCGCCAGGCCGGCCGCCGCCCCCGCCGCCGCCCCGGCCGCGGCCACCCGCAGGGAGGAGCCCGAGTAGCGGGGCGCCGGCCGCACGCGCACCCGCGAGGTCCCGCGGGCGCCCCCACGCAGCCCTCCCCGGGCGCTGCCGCGAGCCCCTCCTCGGCCGCCCTTGGCCGCGCCGCTGTCGCAGAGGAAGGTGGCGGCCAGCAGCAGAGCCCAGCAAGTCGCGGCCGTCCAGTTCATGCTTGTGGGGCGAACCTGCGCAAGACGGAGAGAGGACCTCAGTTTCCGTGAGGCCGGGGGACCCGGGCCCGGAGACAGGGGCGCTGAGGGCTGGGGTGGGATGGGAGGGTTAGGCATTCGGGCCTTGTTTAGTGAAGGGGTGGGAGGGGGTGCAAGGGTGGTGCACCTGCGGGTGGGGTGGGAGCAAACAGTGGGGTTTGGGGGCGGTGAGCACCCTGCGGCGGCGGGAGGGAGCTCCGTACCCTCGGCTGCTCTGGGAGGACCCGCCCAGGCCTCCACTGCTGCTGGGACCACACCGCGGAGGGGCTGTGTTGATGTGTTGAAGGGCACAGTCTCGGGGATCCAGGGCCCCCAAGGACCCCATCACTGCCTGGAGAAAGGGCCACGAGCGTGTGCCTCTGCCCGGCTCTTCCGGGCTCTCGGGGGGCAGTGCGCATCTAGCGCCCCCCGGGCAGGGGGTTCCGGCCTCACGGGCGGGTCGGAAAGCGCAGACCTCGCCCCCCGCAGGCCGGGACCGGGGACCGTCGCCTCGCGCCCCGTCCCCGCGCGCTGCCCCACCCCTCCCCCGGCTACCGGGCTGAGCAGCTGGGGCGGGGGACGCGGACGCGGGTGCGACGCAGGGCCTCATTCCGGCGCAGGGATCCGGGGGGCCGCGCGGTCCTCCGCCCCGGCCCCGCCGATCGCCCCCGGGGCCCCCATCCCCAGCCGCCCCGCGCGCCCGGATCCTGCGGCCCGGCCTTACCCGCCTCGGGCTTCTGTCGGAACCGTGGGCCAGAGCGGCCGTTCGGGGCCGCGGCGGAGCCGGAAGGAGCCGGCGGTGGCGGAGACCCTGCACCCGAGCGCCGAGCCCGGATTTCGCGCGAGGCCTCCGCCCTAGGATTGGGGGCGGGCAGACGCGGAGGCTCATCCCCCGGGAGACGCGAAGGGAGGAGAGAAAGGCAGACCGAGGAGCGCGCAGCCCCTCTCCCTTCCCGGCACCCTCATCCTCGGTGCACCCCGTGTCCTCACCCCCACCCCATCTCCCGAGTCCACACACGCCCGCCCCACTGTGTCCCCATCACCGAGCGCGCGCCCAACCCAGGCCGGGTTTCGCTGCACACCGAGCCCAGCCCCCCGCCTCCCTCCTCCCTCC